GAGAGAGAGAGAGAGGTAGAAACAATAAAACTGATCTCCTTTATACTAATTTGTGAATTCCTTCATCCAGTGGTTATTTAGTAAGCCATGGCTGGCACAAGTACTTAGGACCTGAGTATGTTTGAGCCTTTATTGATTTTCTAAAGTTTTTAACAGTAACGTAGTATTACAAGTCTGCAACTGCCTTTCCCTTCCCAAGAGTCCAGAGACCACCTGGCACCAGGCCCATCCTTCCTTGCCTGACCTCTTACCCCATGTCACCTTTCACCCATTCTCCTGCTTTTGGTTGCGTGCCTTCACCAGCCAGATCTTCCTTATCCCCTTCCTTAAACTTATTCTTTGTAGTTTTTCCCAGTTATCTCAGTAAAAGTTACCACTTTCTCATACTCTGTGTCCATTGTCTTTCTCATGTCATAGAACACTCTCAAACTATCCAGGTGTCTGCACAGGAAGTTTCTCCAATAGGCTCCTAAGGCCGGCTCCGACACCAACAACCCACCCACACGGGCAGGTGCTGTGCAGAGCCTTTTCTGCTCCAAGCTAATTGGAGACAAGAACTACAGTGAGTTCTCAGCACAGTCCTCTGGGCGCCACAGATGCCCTGTTTGTGGACCAGAGAGGAAGATGTGTCTCAGCCACGACAGATGCAGCCTCATTTTGTTTCATTGCCATCCTGCAGAAACTCTCCTTGGTTATGATGAGTGCAGGAGCATCACCAAGGATGGCCAGTGTGCTTTGCGGGGTTAGGAAATACTGTTACACTGAAGTAATGAGACTGATTTCAAGCCCTAAACATCTGCCAGTGTGGCACATAAATTGTAAAAGGTGTTTGTTTTCTCTTCAACTAAGTTTTAAAAGTGGGGCTGAGATTTTGGTAGAAGCGACTTGTCTTTGTCTTATTCAATAGTGACTTTCTGAGCTATTTGCCACAAGTAAAGATTTTAAACTGTTTTTGACCTCAAGGAATGAAGAAATTGCTAGAGACATCTGGAAATAGGATGGAAATGACAAATGTAGCTCATATTTGTTATCACAAGGCTGTGACTTCCAAGAGACAGGTATCCCACTCTAAAAATGGTTACCAAACACAGAGCACACACTCACAGATAGGAATGTTATGCTTCTGCTATTAGTAAATGTGGCACAGTTTTGTGGATTAATTAGCTTTAAAGTGATGTCTAAATAAGCTAGCCATTCCTGTCACTGCACTCCCTTGCTTGGGACTCCGTGTCCGTTTTACTGGGCCACACATTATGCTAGCACCCCACACATTTCATTTCTCTGTGGACCGTTTCTTTCTTGTCTATCAAGTTCTTTCATAACTGTTCCTCAAAACTCTGTGTCAAACTGATTCTAGCCTTTTCCTGAGTTCTCTATCCTCCTACACTCTTTTTCTTTCCTATCTAGAATAATCAAAACAAAACCAGGCAAGGTGGTTCATGTTTGTAGTCCTCGAACTACAGAAGGTAAGGTCAGAAGATTCTGAACTTGAGTTTGAAGCTGGCATGGGTTACATAGTAAGTTCAAGGTGGTGGGGGGAGGGATAGGTAATTCCTAGTGTCAACTTGACTGCATCTGGGATTAACTAAAACCCAAGTGGCCGGATACACCTATGAGGGATTTTTCATAATTAGATCATTTAAAGTAGGAAAACCAGCTTTTAATCTGTATCTTTTGAGATGGCCTGTTCTCCTTTATTCTGGGCCACACCTTCCAGTGGTAGCCTATATAAAGGATGTGGGAGAGGGAAGCTCTTTGCTCTCTTGCCTGCTTGCCCTCACTCTGGTTGGCAAGTCCATTCCTTTACTGGCATTAGCGCCTACTTCTTTGGGACTGATGTATACTGAAGAGCAGATGAGACATCCAGCCTTGTGGACTGGATTCTTGGACTTTCTGTTGGTAGACAGCCATTGTTGAACAAGAAGGACCAAAGCCTATAAGCCACTCTAATAAGTCTCATATATATTCTCATTCATTCTATCAGTTCTGTTTCTCCAGAGAACCCTAATATAGATTTCTAGATAGATGAATGAATGATACATAGATAAAAATCAAAACATAATAAGCAATACTTAGGAAGTTTTTGCTTCAACCATTTCCCAGTATCATCCTTTCCTTCTGTCCCCCACAGTATCAGTATATATAGCCTTCCAATTAATAATGTCCACATGACATTATTAGGTCAAAAGCTGCTTCATCTCATTTCTCTGATTATCTTTTTCATCTAGCTAGGCAAATACATGGTGCCTTATTTCTCCTGTAACTTTAACCATATAGAACTTCCTGTATGCTGTCTTGAATTAGATTATAGCTAGTAGAGTGCAAACTCCTTGAGTATTGTGTTCGTGCTTAGTTTAATTTTGCATATGCCTTAGTATTTAACATAGAGGGTTCTGCTCACCGTAGGAGCATAGGAAGTATTTATGGAACAATTTTCTTCAAGATACTAATTGCAGTTTATTTTGCTTGAACTTGGTGGTCTGTGAGATATCTTCTTCTGTCTCTCCATTTTCTTTCACAGAATTTTCTCTAGATTTTCAGAGTATAAGTAAAGCCCAATTTTATAACAAGTCTTATCTTACCTCTTGTTTAAATCTCAGTTAATGAATTGTTCCCTTTATTTTGGTAGCCTCGTTTGTAAGCTGAACACAAGGACCACCATCCTGGCAGCAACTAACCCCAAAGGCCAGTACGACCCCCAGGAGTCCGTGTCTGTGAACATTGCCCTCGGTAGTCCACTCTTAAGTCGATTTGACCTTGTCTTGGTCTTGCTCGATACCAGGAACGAAGACTGGGATCGTATAATTTCTTCCTTCATCTTAGAAAATAAAGGTAGGTGAAGAAAAATGAACCATTTACTGCAACAAGGAAAGATTAGACCTGACCAAAGGACATTCCCTTAAATTAAATACTCAAGACTTTATGTTGACAGGTAATGGAGAGATGCTTAGACAGAAGGCATCTGTGAAGTTAGTTAGTGGGCTTCAGAATAATGAACAGAAGGGAAAGTAGCTTTCTCCACCTCCATCACAAGAGTATATGAATTATATATGCATGTAGGGAGGGGGATGGATGGACGGACAAACAGACAGACAGAGATCTAGATATCCTTTCTCATAAGAGACATCCTTGTGGTAAAAAATTAATACTTTTGCACACAACAAAAATTGGAGAGAGGATTATGAAATGGAAATCAATAAATGTTAGTTTTCTTTAAATTAGACCTACTCGAGTCCTTATTGCTATAAATGAGACCAGAATTATTCTAAATAATTTTCACTCTGGGGTAAGCCTCTTTTTATTAATCTTACATCATAAGACAGCTCATTCTGGAACTGAATATGCTACAAGTAGGATGGGTCTAGATTTCAGTGAACATAAAACCTGAAGCTGATCTTTTAAAAATGTATTAGGAGACAGGTAGGGTGGTGTGCACCTTTAATTCCTACACTTGAGAGGCAAGCAGATCTCTGTGAGTTCTAGGTCACCCTCGTCTACATAGTGAGTTTCAGGACAGCCAGAGATAGCTATGTAGAAGATTCTGTCTCAAAAAAAGGCCAAAAATAAATAAGTAAATAAATAAATAAATATTAAAATGTATGTAGGAACTCAGTTATTTTTAATTTACTGATCCATTGTCTGGTGTGCGGACACAGGTTACCCAAGCAAATCAGAGAATCTGTGGAGCATGGAGAAGATGAAAACCTACTTCTGCCTCATTAGGAATCTCCAGCCCACACTGTCTGATGTGAGCAATCAAGTGCTCCTCCGATACTACCAAATGCAAAGGCAGAGTGATTCCCGGAATGCAGCCCGGACAACCATCCGCCTATTGGAAAGCTTGATCCGATTAGCAGAAGGTTTGTTTCATTTTACAGATACTTTTATTAGTGCCCAGTTTGTACCAGGCATGCACCATGCAACCAAAAATGATAAGAGTAATCACCACTCCTAGTCACTTAAAAAGTAAAGGTTGAGAGGATGTCGGAAGATGGGATAGCTTAGCAGATGAAGATTCTGGCCCCAAGCCTGATGACTCGAGTTTGGTCCCTTGGACCCACACGGTGGAAAGAAAGTATTGAATCCCACAAGTTGTCCTCTGACCGCCATACACACATGTGAAAACACAAATAAATGTAATTATAAAAATTAAAAATAGTAGTTATAGAGGTGGCTCAGCATTTAAGAGGACTCCCTCCTCCACCAGAGTTTCCAAACTTGGTTCTTAGCACCCATGTCAGAGTAACTCCAGCCCCATGGATCCAATGTCCTCTGCTGGCTTCTGTGGGCACCTGCATCCCTGTAACATGTATGTGAGTGCACACATACACACACACACACACACACACACACACACACACACAGAGATAAGAATAATAAAAATTTTATGAATTAAGAGTAAAGACTCTGAGCCCCTGACCAGCATGCTTCTGAGAATACATAGTGATTATGGAATGAGTCTTTGTATCATTTATGGACCTCCCACAACTTAAGCTATTATTCATTTAGAAAGCCTTACTTGTACTGTTTCTCAGTAGCAGACTCCCAGCATTTTAAATAGTACAGTTTCTTGCTTGTTTGGAATTGTTTCCTATGTAGTGTTACTTGTTCTTATTCAGTAATTGCCATTTGTGACTCATGCCTATTCTTTTTTTATAGAATTTTTTTCATATACTATATTCTGATCACTGTTTCTTTTCCCTCATCTCCCAGATCCTCCCCACCTCCACATGCATCCAAATCCATACCTTTTCTCTCTCCCTCTCCCTCTAGAAAACAAACAAAAATATAAACAAGAATAAAACAAAAAAAAAGGCATAAGAAACATATACACTTAGAAAAACATATACAGACACACACAAAACCCACGAAAACACACAAGCAGAACTATATAAACAAGAGGCCAGTAAGATAAAGATATATATATATAGAGAGAGAGATAGATATAGATATAGATATAGATATATATCCAAACAAAGCATTATAAGACAAAACCTATCCAAACACACCATTGAGTTTGTTAGCTATTCACTGCTGGGCATGGGGTCTGCCCTTAATCATGTTTTGTACCCAGCAAGACTCCACTGGAGAAAACTGAATTTTCCTTTACTAGTGGTTGTTAATTGGAGATAGCTTCTGTGTTAAGAATGGGAGCTTGTGTCTACTTCATTGCTCAGAATTGGGACCCCATCCTGCTTGGACCTGTGCAGGCACTACGCCCGCTGTCATAGTCTCTATGAGGTCATATGTATGTCAGTCCTGTTGTGTCTATAAGACACTGTTTCCATGGTGTCTTCTGTCCCCACCTGTTCTTCCCTTCTACCTCCTCTTTCTTATAGCTCCTTGAACCCTGAAAGGACAGTTTGATGAAGACATCCCATTTAGGACTAGATGTTCCAAGGTCTCTCACTCTCTACCTATTGTTTAGGTGTGTGTCTGTATTTGTTCCCATCTACTGCCATAGAAGCTTCTTTGATGATTGCTGAGCAAGTCACTGATCAAATAATGCTTATAGCAGAATGCCATTAGGAGTCATTATATTGCTGTGTTTAATAACAGAACAATAGTATTGGGTTTTCCCCCTAGGTCCATGGCCTATCAAGTCACCTGAGCAATGTCAGGCATGAGATCTATCTCTTAGAGTGGGCTTTCAATCCAATTAGATACTGGTTGGTTACTCTCACAACTTTTGTGCCACTATTGCACAAGTGTATTATGCATTCAGGTCACCATTGTAGACTGAAGGTTTTATAGGTGGGCTTGTGTTTAGCTTTCCCCTCCGGTAGCATGCAGAGTACCTCTAGTACCATGAACACTAGTCAGTTGGGATGAAGGCTCTAGTTAGGCACCTGTTGGACTTAATCATGTTCAATGAGTATATAGGTGTTGTCTTCATCGATAGGGCCTTACCTTCAGTTTCTAGAGAGTAACCAATAGCCTTGATGATAGCCTGAGCTGTTTGGAGCTTTCCATAGGGTGTCTTTTGCCAACAACTCAATTAGATGTAACCCATTTGTAGCACTTGAGGTTTCACTTGATGGTGAGAGAAGTCTATTTGTCCTCCCCATTATTTGGTGATTCCACTCAGATTTCTTTCATGTAGGTACGTTTTTGCTGGCCCTCCCTATATCTTGTGCCCCCCCCTTTCTCCCTCTCCCTTCCCTTTATCCATTAATCTTCCCATTCCAGACACTGGCCTTGTCCATTCATCACTGTATATTCTATTTCTCATTCTTTGGAAGATCCTTTTCTTCCTCCTAGTCCTTTACTCTATACCAAACCTTTGTGGTTTTACCAATTATAACGTGTCTATTAGATGCTTAAAAGCTAACATCTACATGTAAGAGAATACATACCATATTTGTCTTTTGGGGTCTGGGTTAATTCCAGATGATTTTTTTTTTCTAGATGCATCTATTTACCTGTGAATTTCATGATTTCTTTATTTTAACAGATGGGTAATAATACTTTGTGTAAATATACAACTTTTTCATTATCCACTCATTTGTGGATGGGCATCTAGGCTCTTTCCAATTTCTGGCTATTCTGAATAGAGCAATAATGAACAGAGATGAACAAGTATCCAAGTGTTCCCAGCCATTTGTGTTTCATCTTTGGCTACTTTCTATTTAGTTCTGTACCCCATTTTTAAATTTGGTTATTTTCTTCATGTCTAGTTTTTTGTTGTTGGATATGTAATTGGTGAAGATCTTTTCTCATTCTGTGTCCTGCCACTTTGTCCAGACGCTGGTGTCCCTTGCCATGCGGAAGCTTTTCAGTTTCATGAGGTCCCATTTATTAATTGTTGGTCTTAGTACCTATGCTGTTGAAGTCACCCACTAACTCTGTACAAGGATCAAATGTGATTTTAGCTGTATTAGTATTTCTTTTATGAACTTGGATGCCCCTATCTTTGATACATAAATATTTAGAATTCCAATATTCTTTTGGATTTTTCCTTTGAGTGTCCTTTCCTATCTGTTCTGATTACTTAGGGTTTGAATTCTGTTTTTTCTTATAATAAAATGACTGCACGACTTGCTTCTTGGGTCCATTTTCTTGGAATATCTTTTGTATCCTTTTACCTTGAAAGTGATGTCTATCCTCGATGGTAAGGCATATTTCTTGGATTTCTTTCTAGCAGAAAGGTGGATCCTGTTTTCTAATCAATCTGTTAGTTTATGCCTTTTTAGGAGGAATTGAGATCATTAATGTTGAGAGATATCAATGGGCAGTATTTACTGATTCTTGTTATTTTGTTGGGGTGGTAATGATTTTTTCCTCCTTTTGCTTTGCTGGACTTCGGTTATTTGTTCCTTATGTTTCTTGGGTGTGATTAATCACTTGAGATAGAAGTTTTCCTTCTAGTACCTTCTGGAGAGCTGGATTTGTAGATATATGGTGTCTAAATTTGATTCTATCATGGGATGTTTTTATTTCTCCACCTATTGTGATTGAAAATTTTGCTGGGTACAGTTGTTTGGTGGCATCTGTGGTCTCTTAGAGTTTGCAGAATATCCATCCAGGCTTTTCTGACTTTGAGTCTCCTTTGAGAATTCAGGTGTTATTCCAATGGGTCTGCCTTTATATGTTATTTGGTCTTTTCCCCCTTGCAGCTTTTAATAGCCTTTCTTTGTTCTGTACATTTAGTGTTTTGATTATTACGTGCTATGAAGAATTTTTTTCTGGTCCTGTCTATTTTGTATTCTATATGCTTCTTTTATCTTCATAGGGACCTCCTCCTTGAGATAGGAAATTTTCTTCTCTTCTATGATTTCATTGAAAATATTGTCTGTGCCTTTGGCCTGGGTTTCTTCTCCAGTACAGATTGTAGATTTGGTCTTTTCAGGGTCCCAGACTTCTTGGGAGTTTTGTACTTGGATTTTTTTTTAAAGAGTTAACATTTTCTTTGAAGGAGGTATCCATTACTTCTACCTTGTCTTCAACACTTGATAGTCTCTCTTCCATGTCTTATATTCTTTTGTTGAGATTTACCTCCAAGGCTTTTGTCATTTCCAGTTTTATCTCAGTTTGGGGTTTTCTTTGGTTTTTAGTGATTCTATTTCTTTGCTGAATTCTACTTTCATGCCATGATTTATTTTTTATTATAATATTCCACAGTTTGTGTTTTCACAGACTTCGTTAAGGGATTTGTTCATATCCTCTTTAAGGTCCTTGAACATCTTCACAATAGCTATTTTGAAGTCCTTGTCTTGTGCTTCAGCATATATTATATTTCACTTGAAGTACTGTAGTAAGATTACTGGGCTCTGGTGGAGGCACACCTGCTTAGTGGTTCTTGATTGCATTTTTGTGCTGGTGTCTAGGCATTTGGAGTTGGGATGGTTGTGATACTGGCTTTTGTTATCTGCTCTTGTCTTTGTTGGGTGGCTTTTCCTTTCCTTGTTTTCTGTTGGCCTCTCTGGTGTCTTAGGAAAATGTGGTGCTGTGGGTTGGCTGGGAGGGAGTACAGGTTGGTGGGTGGCGGAGAGGAATAAAGGGTGCCTAGGAGAAAAGGTTGGGAGAGACTTCAGGGAATTTCAACCCAAGGGAATCCTGTTCACACCTAGAGTTAGGGTCCACAGGGAGTTAGAGGTGTTACAGAGAGAGGGGATCCTGCAAGTATGTTGCAGTAAGGTAAAGAATTTTCTGGAGAGACAGAGCTGAGACCCAGGGTCTGAACCTAGAGTTGGAGTCTCGATCGAGTAAAGGTGCTGGGGTGGAAGGAGGTACATCTGTAAGCAAGTTGTTACTTGCTGAGGGAAGAGTGGAGAGACCCTAATGGATGACAGGAAGGGTAGTCTGATTTATCTACCTGAGTCCCTGCCAGGTGTGGCCACTGGGGCCACAGTAGAGAGTGTTTCTAGGTATTTGGGGGCTAACAAGAAGGAGTGGGCTCAAAGGGTGAGGTCTGAGAGGGTCTACAGGAGGGAGGAAGTCTGGGTCCACTCCAAAGTTTGACAGAGTTCCCCAAGAGTGCAGGTAGGGTAGTAGGACAGGCTCCTGCAAGTAGTCTGTTACAGGGCTGAGGGGAAGACTGGGCAGATTGTAATGGAGGACAGGGAAAGAGGGTGAAAATCACCTACCTGACTCTCATCCCATATGGCCACTGGCTTCCCAGGTAAAAGTGTTGCCAGCTCTAATAGATAGCTGACACCAAGGGATGGGGTGAGGGGGTAAAGCTGAGTCCACAGCAAGGTTCAGTAGAGTCCCCAGGGAATAGAGGTACAGTGGGAACATGGGTGTCTGCAAGCCGTCTGTTACAGCGCTGGGGACAGGACTAGAAAACTTGTCATGGAGGACAGGAAGGAGAGTGAAAATCACCTACCCAATACCCATCCCAGTGTCTCAAGCCTGTTCTTATAACCAGATCAGCAAAGCTGTACCCCATCCTATCCCAGCAGCTTAGGGCTTACACATACATACGAGGCTAATGTCCATCTTAGATAGCATTTACACTTTACCTGTGTTCAAATTAATAACATTCACACGAATTGAATGTATCATATCCTGAAATCATATAAACTTAATGAAAATGCCACAAAACAAATGAAACTCATTTTATTAAAGGATTTATAGCTAATATTCAGGCAAAAAAAAATCTAAAAATTATTGTTGGCTGGTTTGGTGCTTTAAAGGGCTCGTACATCATAGATAAAAGAGGTGCCAGAGATGAGAAATGAGTTTTAATTTTGTGTATTTAAATGGGAGTAAAAAATGAAGAATAAAAATTGCTAAATATTAAAGATACTTTTACAGTGCCTTTCTTTGCTAGAGAATGTTCTTATTTAAATCTACAAAATTGTGTGGGCTATGAAGGATTAGGATTGCATTCTTCACCTCAGATACTCTAAAGTGTCTTGCTGTCGTAGCTCATGCTCGCCTGATGTTCCGCAATACTGTGACGCTGGAAGACGCCATTACAGTCGTGTCAGTGATGGAGTCCTCAATGCAGGTGAGGGTAGTCTGTGCCTAATGTTCACCCTCATACGAGCCCTTCTTAAAGTGACATTTTTAAGAGTTGTAAAAATGACCAAATTCTATACTTTATACTTCCTGGGAAATTCCAAAAACAATCACTTAAAAGAAGGGGCTGTTGCAGATGGAGACCTTCACTCTGCCACCGCCATTGCCTTTGCCTACAAATGGCAAGCAGCAGGTCTCAATGTTTTCCTGTCTCAGCATACCTAGGAGAGTTCATGCCCTCATTAGTGACAGGTGGCTTCCTGGTGCAGTGATCACTCGCTGCCCTGCAGGACAAGGGATATAGAAATATAGTGATTAATGTTTTTTTAGTCTTTTGCTCTTTTTGATTTTTTTTTTGAGGTGCCTAGCACCCAAGTAAATAACACACAGAGTCTTATTATTACTTATGAATGCCTGGCCTTAGCTTGGCTTGTTTCTAGTCAGCTTTCCTTAACTTTAATTATTCCCATCTACTTTTTGCCTCTGGGTTTTTAATCTCTCTCTTCTGTAAGTCTTACTTTCACTCTTACTCCATGGCTGGTTAGGTTGGTGGCTGGCTGGCCCCTGATATCATCTTCCCCTTATTCTCTAACTGTTCCCCTTCCTCGGTTCTCCTGTTTATTCTACCTACCAGCCCCACCTATCCTTGCTCCTGCCTTGCTATTGGCCATTCAGCTCTTTATTAAGACCACCAGGTGTTTTAGACGGGTACAGTAACACAGCTTCACAGAGTTAAACAAATGCAGCATAAACAAAAGTCACACACCTGAAAATAATAATCTGCCACACAGAAATTTGAATGGTTCCCATGATTGTGATGCCCAAGATGAGGATGTAGAAGAGAGCGGGTCTTTCCCACCTTAGATCAGTGGTCCCTGGTGTGCCCTTACTCTTGTGCAAGTTGATCTGTGACTGCCCCTGGTGTTTTCTCACCCCTCAGGGAGGTGCACTGCTAGGAGGTGTGAATGCTCTTCACACATCCTTCCCTGAAAGTCCACGGGCACAGTACCGGAGGCAGTGTGAACTCATTCTGGAAAAGCTGGAGCTCCAGAGTCTCTTGAGCGAAGAGCTTAGAAGACTTGAAAGGTAAAGGAGGAAAGGAAAGGCAGACACCTAGAGAAACATGCTTCTTTGGCATTTGGTGAAATGGGAAGTATAAAGTTAGCAGTGAACTGCCAGGCATCATATCTGGTATAACCAATCACTGCAAAACTCAATGCCAAAAACAAACCCCACTATTTCAGTACTTAATTTTTGGGGAATCAGACTGATTCAGAGGAAGATGGCTGTGTCTATGCTCCTTGTCATGTTGACTGGGTCAACACTGGGGTATGGCAGAGCAGTGTTTCAAAACTCATCACTTGGGAAGTGTGTACAATAGACATGGTAGGGACATAGGGGTGATGTGTTAAGTGAATTAAAATGTGTAATTTTACCTAAAGGTATTTGACCTGAACTTCAGTGTTCCCTAAATGCATGGGTTTCTGTAAAGCTAGACTTTGAGTCTTCGCCTCAGGAATGAGGAGTAAGAAATAGCAAGACTGTCCAGGCACCTTTGTGATTAGTCAGAGTGGCATCATAACATACCCCAACTTGTAATCGGTGTTATCTCCAAATCAGACAATGTCCGGAGTGCATGTTGAACCTGAGTGGCTGTCTATATTGGGATTGTTGATTGCATTAAGTCAGACCTTGAAAATATTTTTCCTACTATTTTTCCACTCTGCTGACTCCCTGGCTTCTCCCAGAAGAATTCTGCTTCTAATGTGTCAAACCTGAGCAAGTAAGTTTCTCCTGAGGAGTGGAGCAGAGTTGGCTTTACTCACTAGTAACAGTTATCAGGCTGTGGTAAAATGTGTAAAATTAACTGGTCTCTCCTTGGCCCTAGCTGCTTTTATGACCCAGAACCGTGTATGGTTAGGTGTAGCTGATCTTTTGAAGTTTCAGCTGGGCTCAGCTCAACTTTGCCTGGGAGAGTCTGCTCATTGTGACCAACTGGAGTGACCAAAAATGATAAATATTGGAGTCATGAAAGAGAACCACGGAGCTTAGCCTTAGTCATCTTATATTCAGAAGTAACTCCTAGACTGGAATGGGGAGAAGTGTATATGACTATCCAAAAACAAAAACAAAAAACAAAAAACAAAAAACCTGAATGTGGCCTTAAATAGTCCTCCCTACTGTTACTTCTTTATCATGCAGAAACATGTTATAGTGTTGATCTTAAAAACAGCAGAACCAAGTGCCTCACACTTCTGGTAAATTATCTTCAAGATCCAATTGGAAGCTAATCTCATCAAGTCAGAAGAACCCAAATACCTATAAGTTTTTGACTTTTAGGAAAGACTTACCTAATAGATCTCATAGTAAAAACACACATATTTTCCCCATACTTTCTTCCAGAAAACACTAGGCTAGTAACCACCTCAAATGATGGCCATTCTGTCTACTCAAGTCAAATGGCACAGATAGCACTTGGTTTTAGGATGCTGTAGCACAACTGCAGAAATTTTATGTAGGAATGTAATTACTTAGCAAGAATTAGACTAAAAATAACAAGATCAAACCATTCTACTGCTGAAATTCCTCAGCTTTGTGCCCGTTCTTACAGCTTTAGCAAATGTGAGTACCCTGACATTATCTGATGCTGACATGTCTACGCATGGCAGTGATTTGGAAGGCTGCTTGCTTCTCTGTTTGGTTGCAACCCAAATTAGAAACAAGGAACATGAGCACTCTGGTGATATTTCTAAACCTGTGAGTGATAAGTTTATAATCTATTTTTATAATTTGTTGTTTTATAAAAGTAATATACATTTCTGTATATTTTGAAAACTGGAAGTAATGAACTAGTTACTTCCAAAAAAAACCAAAAGTCAAATGTAATCTTATTTCCAAGAGCTACATATTAACTTCTTAGTATATTTAAATTTGTATTTTTTAATTCTTTTTTCTTTACTGTAAATGAATTTGAAAATAATGGTTTTTAAGTGTAATTTCCTTTCAGATTTAGCACACGGAAGCAGGTCATATATGTCCCCACAGTGAGCCGATGTTTCTAAATTAAGAAGGACCTTCTAAAGGACCCGCCCTGGGGTGTGGTGATGTTTTGCTTATGCTTTAACAAATAAAGCTTGCCTGAAGATCAGAGTGCGGAGCTAGCCATAGAGGCCAGGCAGTGGTGGCACACACCTTTAATTCCAGCACTCAGGAGACAGAGACAGATGGATCTCTGAGAGTTCAAGGCCACCCTGGGCTACATGAGACTGAACCAGTCTACAAGAGAAACAGAGCTAGGCGGTAGTGATTCACCCCTTTAATCCCAGTACTCGGCAGTCACATGTTTTTAATGCCAGCACTAGGGAGGTGGAGACCGGAGTGATATGGCTGGGCAGAGAGAGGAATATAAGGCCAGAGGAGACAGGAGCTCATTGCATCAGTCTGAGGATTCGTATAGGTAAGAACTAGTGGCTGGCTGCTCTTCTCATCTTTCAGCATTTACCCCAATATCTGATTCGGAGTTTTTATTATTAAGACAGATTAGAACTCAGCTGCCCTGGGGAGCTGTAATTCCTGCTAGAAAGTGATTCCGGCCTATGCTCAGCTTTAACCTGCCCAATACTGAGAGCAGGTTGCCTGAGTAGTAGATCCTTCATTCAGAGCTGATAAGCAGGTGCTAATTCTGAGTCAGACTGCAGGAGAGCTGCCCAGTCTCTGAGGAAACATGATGGGGTTTTATAGGAAAAGGGGGCACAGTGCCCAAAGGGTCTGCTGTGCTTATGAAGGTGGACAGGCAGTGGCAGCAGCTGCAGGCAGGAACCATAGGCTCCTCACTCCTAAGGAAGGCAGTTCTCATGGACACTAAATCCCATACCTCCTTTTGGTAAAGCTGTGTGTGACATCCGCATCTCCAGACTCACACTCTGCCTAGTGAAACCATCAGAGCCATCACTTAGCAACATCAGCTTCTGTGCAAGGAGTCACAAGTATTTCTTGTATTTGAACGTTACACATGAAAGGCTCTGAGTGAGCATTTTACACTGGTCTTCAAAAGGTCTCCAATAAAGTCACTGGCTTCCTGAGAGATCTGAAAACATAGACCAGCCTCTGGTTTCATTTTCTTTCTTTTATTACAGTTTTAGGTTGAAAGAAAATGCTTGCCAGAGCACTGAATTCAAAGTAATTTTCTTCTGCTCTAGGAGACTGTACTTGTTATTGACTAAGTGTTGCACTAATTCCAGGTGTCATCTTAAAGACTAAAGAAACAGAAGGCTGGCATGGAATTCCCTCCTTTTAACATTTTCCTTCTCTGTCTCTGCCCAGGTTACAGAATGAGAATGTGCACCAGCCCCAGCCACAGGCAGTAAATGTAGAGTCGGCTCCAGGTTCCTCGAGAAATGACCCAAGGGACAAGCCAAGGCTCAGGACTTCAACACAGCAGGAGCAGAGCTTTAGCTGCTACAACTCCTCCCCTGCTGGGAGTTCCACGGAATGTCCTGATGGAGACTCCACGTCTGGTCTTGGGCTCAATGGACCAACAAGTAGTAACCACTCAGCTGAGCACAAAGGTTGCAGAGATGACACCTTAGATTCGTTTACCCTCGTGGCAACTCCTGAGATTGAATCAGAAAGCAGTGCTGTGTCTCCTGAACTGAAAACAACTGAGGAAAATGTGGCTTTGAAAATCCCTAACAATAAACCTCAGGGCAAAGAGAAACATGGATCAGGGCACAGGAGCAAATTATTAGAAACTGGACATCTTCCATCACTGGGAGCCATGGATGCCCCCTTAAGGTCACATGGTGTCAGGGGTACAAAGGCTAGAAAGGCAGTAGTTGTATCTGAAGGAGCAGGGCAGGATAATAAACCAGACTCTGGGCTGAATCATATACCCCATAGGTCCCCCAAGCTGCTGAAAGAGGGGTCCCAGAGCATGCATAGCAGTACAACCCGGGTGCGATCACTGCCTTTTACCCCGTCCATTCCTTTGCCTGGACCAGAAAAAACAACAGGAATACCCAAAAGAAAGAGACAGAAATCTCCCGCTCAGGTGGGAGAGCCTGAACCTGAAAGTGTGGAGACTACACATACTCCATTGGTGAAACTGGCCAAATTCACTTTCAAACAGAAAACAAAACTGAGTCACTCCTCTGATGGCCACAGCCCTGTGCCTCCCAGTTCTCCTAAAATAGCAGTGAGCAGTTCTAAAATTCCCCAACAAAGAACAAGAAGAGAAGCAACTGTGCCTGTGAAAGGCCGGAGAAAGTTGACATCTACCTCAGGAGATGGATGCTCTGACCAGCTGCAGGGAAACACAAAGGAGCTCTCAAGGCAGCTACCAGAGAGAAGTCAACCACAGGAGGAGAGGGACCAGGGGCCTGAAAGGAGGGTTATTCAGCTCGAACTGGAGCTTGGGAACCAGGCTGGGCATTCTCATCCAGCTTGCGAGACAGACAAAAAGGAAGGGGGTTCCTGCAGTAATAAAAGCAGCAAGGTTCATTCTGGCACGTTAGCAAGACTGGCAACCTTCTCCTTCGCTTCCCCACCAGAATCCAAATCAGAATCCCTCCCTCCTGAAAGGAAGGACCATGGCGAGAGACGACACAGCCCTCCTGCAGCCACAGTTCCAGGGCTTGGCCAGCAAAGGCAGTCTTTTCAGCTGCAGCCGTCCACTGAGAGAGGGAATCTTTCCACACACTCCCTCTTTACTCTATCAGAACTAGATGATGAAGCATTAGATTTTGACTGGGATGAAGAGATGAGTAAGAAGTCATGATTGTGAGAAGCGGTCTGGCCATAATTGTCTTTCCCAACTCAGCCTCATGCCTTCAAAGGACATTGAGGTGTTTATAGGTGTGTACACACAATGTGTATTAAGTGCCATGCAAGAGTCCAGCTCCCTTGTTGGGTTTATAATTTCAGGTTTATCTTTATGAATTAAAACACTAAATAATGAATTCCAGTCAGTGTGATGCCAGCATTTGGGATGAATAAATTAATGCATCATTTCACAAAAAAAGATGACTTGCCATTCAAAAGCATTTCTAGTTTTTCACCTGTTTTTGGTTGGTTGGTTGGTTGGTTGGTTGGTTGGGTTTTGTTGTGTTGTTTTGGTTTGGAGGTATTGTTTTTTCATTTGATGGAGAAGTCCTTTTCTAATTTCCTTCTTTCACTCATCCAGACCAAATGGCATGAAGGGAACACTCATAAATCTAACAGGTTCTCTGTTTCCTCTATGTTCCTTTATATTTTCTACCCAGTATGGACAGAATGTGGTGAATATTTATTAACATTTGGAATACCTTGGGAAATCGAGTGGTTTTCTCCCACTTTGATGTTTATTCTAGTGCATCAGATTAAATGTGAACGATGGGTTTCTGTCTTTGAGAAGCTTCTTTCATTCCCTGCTATCAAAACAAGTCGCACAGTGGCTTTGGGACTTTCTCTTTTTTCCCCTGGAGCCAGTACTAGATGACTTGATTCTCAGGAGCCTATCTTCAATACAACTTCAGTCATGTGGTTAGAACAGGGTGCAAACCAGGACTCCAGTTGTGAAATGGGTTATATCCGTACCAGTGTTTATATGGAAATGTAACCCTGCTAGGCTGTCATTCATGTGTCTTTAAAACCAAGCAATTTGGGCTCAGAAGTAGAATGCTTATCCAGTGGGTATGAAGCCCCATATTAAATCCCTTGCACTGCAAAAACTAAAAACATAAGCAAAGTAAAAGTAAATAACACCGAAGAAATTTCTGTTGCTATTGGGAATAGATGACTCAAACTCTGTTCTTCTGTGTGCTGCTAAACCCCTTTCTTTGGATTCTAGCAAGGGTCCTTGGGGTTCTGTCCTTACTTGCTTCAAAATGTGCATTTATAACAATGGTCAATTCTTTAATTGACTGGGGGCTTTGGGACATGAAGAGTACTTAAAACTGTATGTGCTTTGTTAATGTTTATTTTGTGAAATTCATACAGGAAAAAAACCCATAAAACTTTATAAAACCCAATTTTCTTAAGTATTTAAAAATTAATTTCCAAATTGACTATCTTTCTGGAACATTTTAAGTTGTTAGAACATATTTATTACTTAAGAGCCTTCAGGCACCTCAGACTGTTCATAAAATGTTTATACAAGCAGTAATTTAAGTATTGCATATTCCTTAAACCTGCTCAAAAACATTAAACTATGGTTTAAGTAATATATTTCTGCAATTGTTTAATAACTTTCAGGCATAGAATGATCCTGAATATATTACTAATCCCCTATCATCTTTTTCTGTCCTGCATTTTAGCAGACTTCCTAGAAGTGAAGAGGAGAAAGGATTTGCTGTTTTTTCCTTTGGGGAGGGAGTATACACATGAGTGCTCAGGAGTGTGCATGAGTACACTCACATTCTTGTGCATGTGGAGGCAGAGGTTGATGTTGGTGGCTAGCTCAAATTTTTCCACCTCAATCTTTTCAGACAAGGTCCTCACCCAATCTGAAGCCTGTCATTTCAGCTACACTCACTGGTCAGAAAGCTTCCTGGACCCACCTATTTATACCCTCAAGGCTAGGGTTACAGACATCTACCTTGCTGTATGGGTGCTGGGGATTCAAACTCATGCCCTCATGCTTGCACAGTGAGCACTTGGCCCACTGAGCCATCTCCCAAGCCCCATATATAGATATGCAACACTGTGCTCTGCTCTTTTGGAGTCGGGGAGGTGGGACGGGATCTCACTCTATAGTCCTAGTACTCACTGTTAAGATCATCTTGCTGTGTGTCCTTATTAGGGTTACTATTGCTGTGATGAAACACCATGACCAAAAGCAAGTTGGGGAAGAAAGTGTTTATTTTATTTGCCTTACACTTCCACATCACAGTGCATCTCAAAGGAATTCAGGACAGTAACTCAAACTGGTAAGGAACCTGGAGGCAAGAGCTGATGCAGAGACCTTGAAGGAGTGCAGCTTACTGGCTTGTTCTCCATGACTTGCTCACCCTGCTTTCTTATAGAACCCAGGATCTCCAGCCCAGGGGTGGCACCACCCACAATGTGCTGTGCTGTCCCTACCAGTCACTAATTGAGAAAATGCCCTACAGGCCTGCCTACAGCCAGATCTTATGGAGGCATTTTCTCAGGTGAGGTTCTCTCCGTTGGATGACTCAAGCCTATGCCAAGTTGACTTAAAACTAGCCCGTATACTCTGCTTGTATTTAGTGTCAAAGTCTCCCTCCTTGGTTAATGGGGAAGTCCCTTACTCCAGTATCCTAATAACATCCTGAAATTTCTGAAAGCACGAGGGGATTTGACAACAGTGGGCCTTCCAACCTATTCATTTATTTATTTTCTTTCAACTTATCTATTTGTTTGTTTGTTTGTTTGTTTTACATTCCCCAGGTTGTAGAGATGAGGATCAGTAGAGACCAAGTTCCAGGTCCCGAGATGCACAAGACAATGCAGGTTTCACTGCTGCTGTCCATGTCACTCTTAGCGATTTCAGAGCTGGAAATAAGTTAACAAATTGATTTGTGTATTATTTTGAGACACAGAACCCTCGTGTAGCCAAGGCTGACCTAAAACTGACTGTTTAGCCAAGGCTGGCCTGGAGTTCCTGGTCCTCTTGCCTCGCCCCACCCCACCCCTACCCCCCAGCACTAGGGTTACAAGTACTTGTATCATTATGCTCCAGTCCAGCTCACATGTGGCACAGCACACTGGGTATATGCCCCACACACACATAACCCTTTTCACTGTCACTCTAATGTGCACAGAAAGCAGTAATAACTGCCATAAAGGCACACTCCTAACAGTCCTATCAGTTCCAGCTCCTTTAAAGCCTGTGAAGGTTAGGCTAGGCGTGGCATAGGTTAGACCAGGTGTGGACCTGTGATCCAGCCCTTGAGAGGCTGTGTCAGGAGGGTTACTGTGACCGAGATGTCAGCCTGGGCTCCACAGTATGTACCAGACTAGCCAAGGTCAAACTGTGTGACCCAGTCTCAAAAAACAAAAGACATACAATGGTTTTTGGGAGATTGTTCAGGCAGTAAAGTTGAAAACATTAGGACCTCGGTTCAATTCCCAGAACCCACACAGAAAAGCCAGATGTGCTGGTGTGTTTATAATCTCATTTCTGGGGAGCAGAGACAGATGAACCCTGTGGGCCTTGCTACCAGCCAGCCTGGCCTACTGGGTAAGCTTCAAGCCAGTTAGAGACCCTTCCCCAAGGTACATGGCTTCTGAGGAAGGACACCCAATACTGAGCACTGATTATCCCATGAGAACCCAGACATGAACGTGCATCATGCTTGCTTGAACACACAAGCAGAAGCAGAAAGTATATTACCTTGGGAAAAAACATTTTTAGGCCATTCTGTTTTTTTTTTTGGCTGGGTCAAACACACATAGTTTATCTCAGGTTTATATATATATATATATATATATATATATATATATATATATTTTATATATTAAAATCTTACCTGTCATATGTCCTTTCTTCTAATCTAAACCTGACTCAAAATTTCTGCTTCCTCATGACCTCTGCATCCTTCCTTTTCTTCCCTTCTCTCTCTCGTAGCTTCCTCCCCGCTATTCCCATGTTCTCAATTTGCTCAGAGGATGGTGATCCTTTCCCCTTCTCCAGGGGACAAAGTTTGTCTCTTTTAGGGTCTTCTTTGTTTACTAGTATCTCTGGCAGTGTGGATTGTAGGATGGTAATCCCTTACTCTATGTCTAAAATCCACATATGAGTGAGTACATATCATGTTTGTCTTTTTGTGATTGGGTTACCTCGCTCAGAATGGTTTCTTCGAGTTCCATCCATTTTCCTGCAAGCCTTAATGTCATGGTATGGTTGAGCCACCAGAAAGCGAGCGTTTCCATCAAGTGTGTCTTGATATGGGAACAACCTTGGTTTTCATAATAATGTTTGAATATTGATTACCATTTGACTTCTCAGTGCCTGCTGACACATAGGAAGGAAGTATTATACCCAAATTTGGAATCAGGTGGATTAACTTCTGTTAACTTTGTCATCATCAGTGATCTCATCCACAAAAGCAAAATGCCACGGGTATCTGAGTTAGGTATTGGTGAGGGAAACAAATATAAAATGGGAAAACGTCAGAGGTTAGCTGAAATAAAACTAGCTTTGCTGTAAGCCTCTCATGAAGGATGAGAAAGAGTCCAACAGCCTGGCCCTTCAACTGAGCATCAACTCTCCTCTCAGCCTCTCCTAGGGCCTCTCGGTCCTTGTCACTGCTTCAGTGTGTGTGCTTGTCCTGCCCCGCCATAGCTGTCCCCTGTGTTGATGACTGGTGTGCTCAGGCTCCCTGTAGTTTGTGAGATGCTTTGAGGCCTGATTCCAAATGTCACTTCATTTCTGCTTTCAGGAGAGCACCTGCCTTCATCTCACTGATGCTGCTTTTTGCTTTCTGATTCAGAGTCTTGGTTCACAGAGAAGAAAGGGGTGTAAGTAACCATGGGGCACAGGCAAGCCCAGCAGCCTGGACTGAGGGTGAAGACAATCTGGCCGGCCTCCCACATCCCTGTCTTCCAGTGGGTTTAAGGTTGTTGGACCCATAAATCCCAGGAACTGGTTATGAGTGCACTGGAACCAGGGAGGATGCCTGACCACAGCAAGGCAAACACGAGCCTTTCCGATGGTGCTGATATACAGATGAGGCTACAGAAGCAGAGGGAGCAGGCTACTGTACTGCCGAGTTCCAGCTTCATTGGCCCATGTGTGTGTTGATCTTCATAGCTGTTAGAAATGCTCAGGTGAGAGCCAAATGGCTGGAAGTATGAGGAGGGTGTTAAAATACATTTTATGTTTTTTTCCAGATTGTTTAACTAACTGTACAGTTGCCAACAAAGCAGAGACTAGATCCACTTTGAGGAGACAGAATGCCAGGCCTGCTTTAATCCTTACAATTATACAGAAGTAGCAGTCCATAAGAATGATATATGTTTTCATTGTTAGAAAATTATTTTTAAAGGTGGAGAATCTAGCCAAGTGTTGTGGCTCCATTCCTATAATCCTGGCTGGCACTCAGGATATGGACACAGGAAGATTGTGGGTTTTAGGCCAGCCTAAGATATATAGTAAGTTGAAAGAACTCTGGGCTATGAAGAGAAATTTCCCCTTCCTTCTCTCCCTCCCTCCCTCCCTCCCTCCTTCAAAGGAGTTCATTGTAAATGGGGGAGTGACACAGCAGGTCCCTGGAGAGGCCACTCCTTGTATATAGCTAGCCCTCAGTAGCTCATGATCCACACACACCCATGAACGGAGCACTGCCTGACAGACTGCCCAGCACCCGCCCATCCCCATCATCATTCTTCTTCAGGAAGGCCACAGAACCGTAAACTTGTATGTATTCCTTGCAGTTACA